CATATCAAGAAGGAGCTGTATTTGCAGTGCAGAGGTCTCTTAGCTGTAAACAACTTAGGACCTGCCCTCGATCATAGTTTGATTTCCAAGGTCTTTCGTCGAAAATATTGTTTACCAATTCACAAGCCTTGAACCATAAATTTGCGGCAAAACCTGTTGAGACTGATTTATTTTCTTTCTATTTTCCAGCTTCACTTTCCGTAAGGTTGATACCTATTACAAGAGAAGATAACCCTTCCCCTCCCCCTCCCCTCCCCCCTCACCCTGTGTTCTATCAGTGTTGCTGTTTCTTTCGCTATAATATGTTTGTGAAGAAACACATATAACGAATAAAACAACACCAAATATGAGAAAAAGAGATAGAGATTGTACAAATATTTAACAATTATTCGCCTCAGGTTCGGTGAATATCGTCGAATAATCTCCGAGACGAAGTCGAGGGGATTATTTGTCAATATTTATTGAACCTAAGGCGAACAATTGTTTTAGTATAATTTCAAAGCTGAACAACAGAGGAATTTCTAAAATCATAACATTTTAGTAAAATTTATTAACATTTTAGTTTAACATTTTATATATAGCATCATATAAGGAACCGCTCGACCAATCAGATTGCTGGAAACTCTTTGCTCAGCTCCGAAATTATACTAAATGTATACAGGGTGAAAATTGTTGAAACTTTTGCTTGTATCAACATTTTTGCTTCGTTGCAATAATACTAATAATTAAAATAATATTTCCATAAGGTCGTAGTAGTAGCAAGTATGATAAATATTGTAAGAAATAGACAACTTTTTTGAGAGACATGTTTCGGCATGCTTATGCCATCTTCAATCAATGAGTAACAGAACGTGAGTAATTATATAACAGACAAGTAGATGAATAAAATATTTACAGTATGATGTAATACAAAAGCGGGTACTAATTACAACGTGACACCAAACATCAAAGGTGTGAACTAAAACGCTAGAAAAGTGTTATAATGCTGTAATTGTTTGTTAAGTTCAGGTTTGATCTTATTTATATAAAAAGCTTCTTTGAGTTTTAAATCAATTGAGTTGTTAGCAGAATCCAGAATACTAAAGCAAGAAAGGGAGTATTTGTTCTTACAAGAAGGAGATGTGTTGAAATGCTTAAAAATATGCGAGTTTTTATCGCTTTCCGTGTGCTCCTTTATCCTAGTAGAGAAGTGGCGACTAGTTTCGCCAATATAACGGGAATTACATCCCGCACAAGAAAATTGATAAACTACCATGGATTTTAAAGCATCAGGAGTACGATCTTTAACACAGAATATATTTTTAATTTTAAAAGAAGTGAAAACGAGTTTGATATCTAGGTCCGATTTACAAAAGCGCTTAGTGCGTTGTCGGAGTTTGAGGTTCGCTATTTTAGAATAATAGCCTACAGAAGGGAGTTTAAAGTAACGTGTATTATTAAGTTAGTTTATCCTTTAATTGAATTATTCCAAAAAAATAGCCATTGATTGTCGGACTAATTAGCTTAAAACAGGATGGGATCGATAGATTGATTGATCGATCGACTGATAGTTCTTATGATGTATTCCATCCTCAGGATGCCTTTATGTGTTCTCAAGAAAGATAGAAGAGTACAAAAGCTCATTGGAAAAAGTCTACGACAAAATTTGCTCCAATATTTACACTCAGCTGTTATTGGTCGAGCAGGTTCGTCCATTCAAGCGAGTCGACGCTGATCTGATGATGGAACAAAGCGTTGTATGTGGCTTGCTTGGATACTATGAGTTCTTAACCCCACATCGGTTGGCGAATATCAAAAGGTGGCAGCGACCGAATGGTTGCTATGGAGACATCGTAAATGAGGAGGAATTAAATAGAAAAATGGGCTGGAAGACAATGAGAAAATTGCTAATGGGAAAAGAATTATCCGGTAGGTTAAGCAGAACAGTAACCCCTTCCCCATTCATTGTTGGCTAGAAGTTCACGGAATCACGATATAATACGCCTTTGGGGGAGGGGGGGGGACCAATAGGCTAACTTGACGATAGCACAGGAGGTAAAGTTGAAGTAATAGAGATTGAAGAGATCAATGTGTCAACCAAATTTGTCGCAGATTGTAGATAGGTATACGCCTCCCCACTCCCCACTCCCCACTCCCCCCTTTCCCTCTGGAAAGAAGGTTTATAATAGGTCAGGGAGGGGGAAAAGGGCCTTGTTGAATACTATTTAATAGCCAAAGTGGTAATCAATCGTTTTTTCTCAATTGTCGCTCACATTTAACCTCTTCCACTCTACCATTACTATCCATATTCTCCAGAATGACAAGAAGAATTGGTTTCAAAATCCGGAACCTCTTAAATTGGTGATCATTTGTATATCCTCATGAACTCTTTATTTGATATAAGGGTTTAAGTGTTGGCAAAAAATAGAAGCAAGTGACTGCTACTGGTCAAAAAGTTAATGGATATCATATCAAATATACATTTCTTTGGTTGAAAGGCTTCTTTCGGGCCCTTTGTTTCTACCATCAAATTACAGATAGAGCTAAAACTAAAGAAAAAAAGATATATTGTGCAGACAGCGAGAGTCGTTTAACAATCTAGACCTCTTTTCTAGTTATTGATCATTTCAGTCCTTTATTCTCGTTACCTAAATGTTTGACTCAGGGATGCTAATGTATGGAGAAAATGGAGAAAATAGATAATGGTCAATCTTAGGAGCCAAAGAGTTAATCAAAAAAATGTAATGTTGTGAAGATGCAACAACTCTAGCTGATAAGTTAGTCTTTTATCATTGCTTCTTTGCCAGGTACTGCATAAAAATTGTAAGGAGAAATAAAATGTTAATCGTTACCGTGTGGATTTTTTTGCAGATGGATGCGAATCACACATCACCGGAGTTGGCACGGCCCTACTGTCAATTTACCTTCGTTTCGTAATTGATGAAGAGTTGTTAATAGTGAATTCAACTAAAGCTAGCAATTTCTAAGAACTTAACCAGGATTTGTCAAAAAATCAGGACTTATCACAAAAATATTTATGATCTCGAAGTATTAATTGTGTAAATAAGGTGCTGAAAAGATTTACAAACATTATTACAACTGTCGTTGAAATATAAAATGAAGGAGTGCTGGAAACGCGTTATATCGGAAAGGAGCAAACTAAATAGACATAACTTAAACTGCAAGTGATTAAAAAAAATTAAGCCGTTTAGTCAACTACACTTTTTTAAGTAGTTGACGCATTTCCAAGTGACTAAGGAAAAAAATTTAATGGCTCGACGTATGATGTTTGATTTAAATGAAAATGGTGCAAGTCGTTTGAACTTGAAATCCAATCTCTTCAGTACCAAGATTACTNAGTATAATGTAAGTCGACTTGAAATATGATATGTCTTCTAATTTTTTTTAGTTTATTCGATTAATATCCATATGTTTAGATAGTTCTAAGAGAAGAATATAAGAATAGGATATTACCGATCGTAAAGTGTGATCGCTTTGGTGGGATTTGTCATAAAAGGACTATTGTCGGTGACAGAGACAACTTTTCCACAAACTGAGAAGAAGTCACCGTGGGCGTCAAGAAAGATGTTGGTTTTTTTTTTTTTTGGTCAGTTTTTCTGTAACTAGCATTTTCTGTGAGACTCGTACGCTCAAAACCCGTCATTAATTCTGGATTTCTCTTTAAAGACATATTTTATAATTTAGTTAATTCGCTTTCGAAGTCAATCGTTGCAAGTACTTTGTGGTGTTGGTAATATATTCTCCATATATAGTCCCATTTAAAACCAGGTGCGATCCCCATACCTGTGAGTATAAGACTGAAAAATAAGTGTTCACTCGACTTTGTTGATGATTCAGTTCAGGTGGCCCATACGTCAGATCCTGTCTCTAACAACAGACGCTGTCATAACTACCCTCACAAGAATGGTCAGACTACACGATACGATCATTTCTAATATTTGGCAAATATTACTCCTGGTCGCAAACTACCTACTCTAAAAAATCGCTAGCGCTCGATTGTAAATTCTCGTTATTACATTTCAGCTAATGTGGATTATTTGTGACAGATTTTCCTGTATTTGCTGACGACACTCTTATGTCATCATAGCCGACCTGGGAGCTATTATTGGCCACCGGGTAAGAAAGAGTTTCTTTCGGTATTCATATAAAACCAAAACCAACATGTTAAGAAGACGTTAATGAACTTGTGCGCGTGCTTTGGGACTACGTAGGCTAATAATATCGTAAGTAAATCACGCGAACGTCGACCTTTTAATTTTGAGCGATTTTTTAGAGGGAAGAGTTGAAGAGTTTTCAGTTTATCGAGTAGCAGTTTTGTTTAATGGTCGTTGTCGTTTACCGTGAGTCTATAGTTTATCGTGTTGGAATTAAAGTGTTTGTTTGGATTTCCCGTTTCGCTTCGGAACATTTTTGGCGACCACGATGGGAGCAAGGTATGAGCTGTATTTTTTTAGAGATTTTGTTTGCGAGTTGAGTGCTATAGCTTCCGCTGAATCCTAGAATTGCGAAGTTGTTGAAGTTACCGTGAAAAACGACAAAACTGGACCGAGTGGAGTCGACAAACAGAAGCAAAAGGACGTTCTGTTGATAGAGATTAAGAAAAGAAAACGTAACGCTAAGACGAAATTGACAAAACTCAGACATGAGTTGGAAAAGTATGCTTAAGAGATTAAGAAATAACGGACATAGAAAGTGCGATTGAACAGCTGTGGGCAGCGCTAAAGGACGTACAAGAGATATTAGAGGAAGTCGCCGCATTCTATGTGGAATTCGAAGAAGAAGCTGCAAAAAAAGAAGCGTTTGAAGAGTCCGAAACGATCGAAAGAGAAGTACAAAAAACGATTGAAGCGGGTCAAAATGCGATTAAAGTCCGCGCGTCCAAAACCGAATATATGAACTGGCCATTAAGCGAGAACACAGCGGATCGCTACGAGCAATCGGCCCGAGAAGATCAGCTTAACGAAAGTCACGGCAGCCACGACGTCCGGAACCGATATTTGAAGCCGTTAACAGTTCCGACGTTCAATGGTGACAAGAGAAAGTTTGAAGATTTTTTGGCCCTTTTTACAAGTCTCGTAGACGAGTCAATGGAGCCAGTACATTTGAAAATGGCAAAATTACGATAATGCCTTACAGGGAACGCTTTGGAAGCCATCCGTGGTCTTAGAATCACCGCCCCCGAATACGAGGAGGCAAAAGAAATATTAAGGACGAAGTATGGAGGTACGCGCCGGCTTTTGCGAGCCTACTTGGATCAACTAGAATAGGCGCCGTTAATAAGAAGCAACGATATCCACGCGCTGGAGAAGTTTTCTGACCTTGTTAGAATTACAGTGGTAAAGTCACAGGCCGAAGGA